AACTTGAGTCTGGGTCTCTCATAAATTATGGAAAGCTGACGTATAGTTTGTGTGTTCAACAAACAGTTTTAAAAGATCTACTCAGAAAAAAACAATATACTGTCAATGAAAACTCATCTTTATTTCAATTGTTTCCTTTCTCTCTTTTTACCCCTTAGTTCATTTATTACTGAAGCCTGTTTAATTATTTAAAAGACTTCTCCATTGCCTTTTAATAATACATTACTCCTGCTGTGGAAGAAGTGAAGCAAATTCATCTCCATGAAAACACTGAGGTATCAAAAGTGAGAAAATCTTGCAACTGAGAATGCAAGGGTTGAAATAAAATATACATAACCAAAAACAAAGGAGAAGCAAAACAATGTAGCTTAGTTCTGTTCCACCTGGCAGACTTGTCTTCAGCTCTGAATTTCTACTTCAGAAATCTAAACCACCCATATACGTGATTTTACTTTGTATTAGGGTCTATTCTAACATCCCACCATCTCAAATGTCTGCAGAGGAACAGAGATTACAAACACCAGTGACAGAGCTTTGCAAAACCAAAGTCTTGGCATGCAGAAACAAATCATGTCCTGGAAATCAACAAAACTTGGTTTTCAGATCTACAACCCCAGGGATAACTGAACAGACCTCAGAAAAAAAGTCATGGTAATTGGTTCTCAAATGAATGATTTCTGCCTCGAAACCACTGTTTTCTTCTGATGCAGTTCCACAGACTTTTCCATCAAGGGTCAATTTCCTGATGCCACACTTCCTGCAGCTTTGCATCTCTAACTGCTATTGTATTTGAGAAAGAGATCTTCATGAGGCCATATCCAAAAGATGGTCTGCTTTGGTTTGAAAGGTTTCTGCTAATATATGCCAATTGTACACATCTCATTTGTGTGGCAAATATTTAAAAATATTCTTACTGCCTTCATTGAAAAGACATTGAGGATTTTTCAGCTTTTATCAAATACAGAAGTACACCTTCTCCTCAAACTCCCTGTCCAGACAGCCTCTCATTCAAGTGAAAGCATGCATCATTAAACCAGGGTGCCCAAAGCACATGACAGCTAATATTCTCCATTGTTAAATATTAAACAGGTACCTCTTTAAACTACTTATTTATTCACAGAAGGCTGCTACCTGCCTCTTACACCTCAGGACTACCAGAGTTTATTATAACAGAATCCTCCATGGGCAGTGAGCAATTTACATTTCTCATACACCTTACCAAACAGTTATTTTGAGAAGAAATACCCAAGAATGACTGACAATCCTGGTAGATTAACCTGTGAATAAAACTGGAATCAGGACATCGTAAATACACACAGATACAGTGATCTGTATCTTTCTTGCCATCACAGTCATTGCATATTTTTCCTAACAGTCCCAAACTATACCTAGCTACAGGCTAGCTGAGTACCTCCAAATTGTTAGCTTCTTAAAATAGTCTCTGGACACTTCTAAACGGCATCCTACCAAACATTCTGCTGTGAATGTACTACACAAAAGCTTAGCACTGGGGAGTAATAGTCACTTTCTTGGGATAAAAGGCAAAGGAGGATGCTGTATTTAAATAGCCTCAACCACAAATCATTCTTCTTGCTTCACTGGTCTCCAGTGGACAGCTTCCAGCTAAATCAAAAGTGACTGGTGTTTGTGTCTAAACAAGTCTTGCGAGTTTCAATATCATATGATTAAGAAAGCAATATTATTAGAAATATTTTCAGGTAAGTTCTATCTCTGAAAGAAAATTGTTTAACACAACTTGAGGATAAGTTTCAAAGTAGACCTGCAAAATAACTGAAGGCAAAAAAAGTACCCAATTTGCATTATTTATCTGAAGCAATTTGATACTTCTGGGGCAAGAAAATGGTGTCTGCCTGAAGGTAAAAACACTCACATTTCCAGGTCAATAGTATAAATAAGACTGAAAAACATCTCTGGCATATACTGATTACACTGAAACGCTCCCATCGAGATCCTACTTTTTTCTTGAGGGGTACCGAAGAGCAATTTACAATGGGTGAATGGGCTCCAACTATGTTTTTATTACACCGATCACTTGTGGTTATTTAGTCAACACAAACTATTTTTGCCCAATTTACAGCTAAGCAATTCTAGGAACGCTGCATTAAAGAAAGCAGACAGTTTTTGAGTTGCCATCCAAATTAAAGAATCCAGGAAAGCAAATATCTCTTCTTCAAGGAAAAACAAAATTCCAACTCAGTCCCAAGCCCCTTCTACAGGAAGTCTTCTTCTCAATCTGCTACAGATCTTCTAAATTATTCATGTAATTTACTTCTTCCTTTCAAGAACACACACTCTTTGTACATCTACAACCGTCATTTCTCTCTTCGTTGAGCTAGAATAACTGTCATAACCACTGTTTTGATTTCAGCCAGCCTTGAAAATTTCAGTCAGGTTTCTATCTGACATGGTACAAAAAATATTGAATAAGGAAAATTTTTGGTGCAAAAGGGGAACCTCTACGTACTTCAATATCTAATGTATGAAGACAACAATAAAAATACCTGATTTGTTCACTATATGAGCATACCAGCTGTGTCATATCAGCACATCTCACAAAAGTTAAACTCTGCAAGATGCTCAGTTCTCCTGGATTTTGGAGAGCAGGTGAAGAACCTTCAGAAGAATTTGGTGATCTCAGGATCCGCAACCTAATGTCACCAAGACAATCACGGCACTCCATTACAATCAGTTAGGAAGAAACAGGAACTTATTTGATCTTCCAAGCAGTAACAGCATTTTCAGGCAATATGGTAAACAAAATGTGCAGAAAAAGAGTAATGCGATCTATTTGAAAATTGGGACAGAAATTAATTTTAGTTTTGTAACCTTCTAAAGTTAAGCTAAAAATAATTCCACACAAAATAATCTAGGAAGATTTCTTCCCTCATATGATCGCAAATCAACTCTGTAAAAGACATAATTTAAAAAATATTTGTAAAAGTAACTTTTGCAATATAGTAGTTTGTTTGGGCTTTTTTAAGGGTTCAATTAAGTTTTCTATTAAGAATCAAGAAAAAAGCCCTACAACACTCACATAACTGTGTTTCCAACAGTTTTGTATGAAAAATAAAATCTAGATGCTATATGTCTCAATCAGCTTGCATGGTTTTACAGCGTCCCAAACACCATGCTACAAAAATCTATTTGTAGAATAGTAGCCTTCCTCATTTTGAAGACAGATAAACAAATCAAAAGCCTGTTATAGATCTACCCGGCATGTGATCTTTTTCCACCATCTGAATTCCCTTTGCAGTAACTGAGATGTCTTGAATAGTTCACAAGCATTCCTAGAATGTTACAATAATTCAGTCTAAAATACCAAAATAAGACACAAGAAGTTCTACTTCTGCTGTTCTTAAAAAAAAAAAACCAACAAAACAAACAAAAACAAACAAACAAAAAAAAACAAACAAAAAAAAAAACCAAACAAAAAACCAAAAAGAAACTTTAAAAAAGCACCAAAAACCAAACAAAAGGTAACAAAACCCATTCCACAGCAATAAAGAGGAATAGAGCAATGTTTGCAGGTTCTTGCCATTGAATTTAGGAACATGTAATAGATAATTTTTGGTCAGTAAATTAAGCATACCAGCTCTTTTCATATCAGACATAAATTTAACCCATTTAACAGTTGTTTATGAGTTTATTTTATAAAATAATGCAAAAAATAACCTCATAAAACTTGTAGTAAATATTAACTTAAAGACAGCTGGAACCACAACCTTGTAGACAACCCTGATCCGAGTTAAACCTCATGCCAAAAGTACACTATTTCAGAAATGCTAATGCTTAAATGTGAACAACTGCCTTCAATACTCAAGTTGCTGTAAATACCACTTTACAGTGATAACATAATACACTGAGATTCATAATACACTGAGTTCTAGACACTCCAAGTTGACATGCAACCTTTCTAGAATATGAATCTGAACTATGATACCATCATAAAGAATATTACTAGATTTATGACAACTATTGGGACTGTTACATGGCAGAATATGAAACCTAGTGTTGGAATCTTGGATGCTGAGAATTTTAAACTTTCTCTGCTGAAAGGCACAGACACGCAGGAGAGCACTGCATTTGACATGAGGCTGTGGAGAAGACTTCCAAAATTGATTAAGAGCACTGGGATTACAGGTGTGTAGTTGGTTAGAAGTGTGTAATATCACAGGGTGGAAAACTTAAGAGTTTGGGGTTTTAGAATATAGAAATAAATATGAAGTAAAATGGAGGTTTCAGGGTGGAGACAGGTTGTTCTTCTCTACCTTGTTTTTCCTTCTTCTTCTTGGGTCTGGGTGATGTTTTGTAATTGGACAGAAAAGTCTGCATTGTGGGCTTTGGGGGATCAGTTATTGGGTTAAAAGGGAAAATAGTCTAGGTGTCATTTCTTAATCGGATGATTTAGTCTTATAAGACCTTGTAACAAGAGATAGCCATTTTGTGCCTTGCTAATGAAAGACTGCAAAACTCATGGCTGTGAAGCTGTTTCACTGATAAGAAATAATAAACACCTGAGTCCAAACATGAAACACCATCTCAAGTGTCTTCAATCCCGATCTCGACAGAAGTAGAAAAAACAAGCAGAGATCCCACACCTAGAAACTTAAGAGTAAACAAAAGCATACACAGATAGACAGTTTTGTTTGGTTGTTTGGTTTGGTTGCTATTCTAAAATATATTATGGCAGTAAATAATGTAACAGCATTTGTTTCAGAAAAGACACATAAAGAGCTTCATGTGACAAATTCTTATACAGCATACCTAAGGTCAGCACTGTTAAAAAAAGAAAAATCTGGCTACTTGATAATGCATGGTTACTTCTTTTATGCTCTCCAGAGTACAAATTTTAAACAAAGCACTTTTTCAAGAATGAGACACAGAACAAGAATATAATGCACCTTCCCTTACTGCCATGCATGTCACAGTTAAAGGAATTAGACACATTAACCCAAGAGGTGAAAACTTTGTGTACTCACATCCCCATCTAGTGGCCTCTGGTCGTCAGAATCCCTGGATGGACTGATGTCCTGCCGCATCACCCAGATAGGCTCCTTAGGTTCATCAGGGGTATAAGGAGAACGGATGGTCCTCGTCTTCACTTCTTCAATAGCCTCTTTAATATCCTTGATGGCCAGTGAAATTGCATCTCTTTTTTCCTTGCTGTACCTCTGTACAGATTCGCCCGAGCCAGACGTAACTCGAGAACCAGATGTTAGCTGGCCATTACTTTCATGCCCACCAGTGACAAGAGCGTGGCCATGCTCCAAACTCTGCTCTGACTCTGGCATGTCTTCAGCTGCCTTGTCTAAGCTCTGGGAGCTCATGCTCTGCTTCACCTCTGCTACAATTTGATCAATGTCCTCCTCTTGCTCGTAACTGTCCATTCTTGGGTAGGGTGCAAACTCTGCTTCCTTTTCAGGGCTGTCAGACTCTCCATCAGACCGTTCATCATAATGGTGAAGGCGGGCACCAAGTGCCTCCTTGCGGTAATTGTCGGCTTCCTCTCTCTCCCGTTCATACTGCTGGATGCCCTCCCTACCATCAAGATCTGGTGTGTCTCCTATTTCCTCATACACATGCTCCTGCAGCCCATAGTCAGCATAAGCCTCGGCATACTGTTCATCCTCTCCTCGGTGGAAGAGGCGATGTGTGTAGACATAGCCCGAGTAGGCTGCATTCATGGCTTCCTCGTGCTCAATGGAATGGAAATGTAAGTGATTGGGCAATGTTCGGTTATGAATGGCCTCGCCATGCTCAGCCTCTGCATTCTCCGTGTACTCCTCGGACTCAGGCCTGTACTGCACTGCATATGCACTCTCATCCTCGTTTTCCTGCACTCTCTCAACGTTGTAACTGTCCTCCACTGTGGCTATCACATCCCCTTCTGCAGTATCCGTGTGACTGTGGAAACCACTCTCAGTGCTGGCTGACCGAGCTAACATGCCTTCCTCCTCCTGCCCAGACAGACCCACGTGGCTGCTGTTGTTGTGCCTTGGGTAACGAACTGCATACCTCTGTTCCTCTTCCACCTCTGAGTGTTCCAGGTCAGCTTCCACTGACTCACTCACTGCTCCATTTGCTGGCTCTTCACTGATGTCCCCCTCAGGTGGTCCAACCAAATGGTTCATGGCAAGTTTTGGAGAGTAGGTCTCTTATTCTGCTGACATTTTGTCTATCACATCTGGAAAGAAATTAAAAATAAAAAACAAACTCTGACATTACTCCCAATAAGGAAAGTGGAGTTAATAAACAGAAGCACACAAAACGCACCCTTCCTTCCCAGCAGACAAACATTTGACTCAGCTCTGCAGTCAGGTAATAGACAGCACAACAGTATGATCTCCCATGCAAATGATTTCCAAAAGCAGCAACCAGCAACAACACTCTTGGGGACTTCCCCCTTTCATGGACAAATTCTTTAAAGAAGTATCATTTCCAAACAACCTGTATGCACTGCAGTGGCATTGCAATGATGCTGGAATATTAAAAAAGCCAATTTTTGCCAGAAGCTGAACCATGACAGAGATGAGAGAAATATTTCACCTTTGCTCCAGCACTTTCCCTACAGATCACTCATGTGGAGCAAAGGAAGGATGCTGTAATGTAAAACAGCAGATTTAGTCCTGTCAGTTACCATGTTCAGTCTGCAGTTACCTCGATACATGACAGCTCTGCATTCAATACTTCTTCAGTGTGACATCTTCAAGTGAACTAGTCACCCTATGCTCTTTAAAAAAATCAGTAGAAATTAAAGTTGTACTCTCAGGACGCAGTACATCTGAAGCACCTGTTTCTTCCTAGAGAAGGACACAACAACTAGATACAATACAGTTACCTTTCTGGAACTACCTATAACCAGTTAAGATGGCTTCTTTCCTAAAACATGGTGAAGACATTTCTAATACTCATAACCATGACTGCCTTGAGACTAGGGGGGCATCTCAGCCTTCCTAACCGAGTAAAAAAATCTCAAAAGGTTATATGGTTACTAGAGAAGTCTGCCAATAATAACAAATATGCAGGGAACAGAAACAGGCCTATCTAGCTCACAAGGTTTTATTTTTATAAAACAGCTTCAGCTATTTGGAACCTTGTCCTATGTGTTTAAGATGCAGTGTCATAAAGACGACATGTAACGTTCTTTTAGCTACCTAAATCAAGCCATATATCCACAAATAAAACACAGCTATAGCTTGTGACTTACTGATAAGTACTAAAAGAAAAGGTTCTTATTGGAAGACTGCTAACTTGAAGGATCTATAAAAGCATGCGTCAATTGCCAACTAAAAAAAATTAATGTGAATATGAAATAGAACTTGGATCAAATCTAATAAACTGAGGCAGAGAGGCTCAGGTGGCACTTTGTTGACTAAAAGAGCTCTGTGCAGAAGTAGGAATAATCCCCTGTGATGAGAAAGCAACAGGAATGTCACTTTCTCTCTATTAGAGAAGTTGACAGGCAGGCAAACCAAGATGTGAGTCATTTACACTATACTTCCACAGGAAATCCAGAAGGTGCGGCTTCCAGCTCAGAGAACACACCTTGTTTTTGTTACATCTAATGTTTTAGCCCTTTAAACACAGGAGTACTTATTAAAAAAAAAAATTACAGTTGTAAAGTAATAGCTAATAAATCACATTACATGGACCTATAAGGATGTAGTACACAAACTAATCCCTTTTCAAAATAACTATGAAAAAGTACAGTTTGTCTTTTCCAGCTAATGAAGGTGTGTTAGTAAGGTTTTAGTGACAAGAGAAAGTCTTTTCCAGCTAAGACTTCCAAGACATTAGGAAAGAATGGACAAAATACAGGTGTATATACTGGTGTGCACCAGAACTAAACACTCTTCCCCCCCACAAAGCACATGGTGAGAAATCAAGAACAACAATACTGGACAGCCTTCTACTTTTATCCCAGAAGAAGGGTGAGGATGCCAAGGTGCAAGAGCTCTTTGAAAAGTCCTTCCCAAGGAGGATGAGCAGAGGAACACATTCGGTGCAGGTAGCTTGGTTTGCACCCCGCAGTGTGAGCTGCAGATTGAGCTCTGGGTGGCAGGAGCCCCAGGGAAGAGGCCAGGAAGTGACAAGTCTTTGCATAACACAGGACCCAAAGATGCTGGCACCAGCCAGGTGGATGGACAGGATGGATACTGAGACTTGGCTGGAGCCAAAGACTCAGGAGGGGAAGTGAGACTTTGGCACACTTGGACTATGAGGGGACAAGAGCCCAGGGGTTCATTTGTTCAGGCTCCCTCCTTGGAGGCTCAGAGCTTGAGATGTTTCCGTGTTTCGGCACCGTGAATAAGTGCCTTTAGGCCTTTAACCAAGCCACTGCTGGGGTTAAACTGGCCAAGAAACCTGGGCTGACCCTGTGAGAATGTGTACGAATCAGGTGGGGTCCCATCAGGTCACTGGAGTGGCCACCGAAAAGGAGCTTTGGTCCCAGCTGTGACAGTCCCTGGTGGTGGGAGTGTGACTGCCAGAGCCTCATGAATGGTCAGGCTGGGAAGGTCCTTTATATGGCCTGGTTTCACTGAAGTAAATTATAAAATTTCCACTTCTTTGCACATAGACAGAATTAGGCTAAAATAGAGGGTTGATTAAAAAATCTAACTACATTTGTGGCATTCAAATGGCCCCTGACTTGTGACTCAGTGTCATTGGTCACTCCCAGAACAAGGATAGTGCTAGTCAAAACAAATCAAGTTACAGATAAACACAGGATAATGATCAACTTTCTTAAATTTTATCACATGTGTCCTAATCATCTTTAATTAAGTTTTTAGAAAAGAAGGCAAAAAATTGGCTACATGAAGGTTACTCAAGCCAAATAAGGTATCAAATGTCGTAACTTTTATGACAATAAAACTACTGATAATTGCTGAAAAAAGTTATCCTGTTTTAGAAGTCTTAATACGTGCTTTCAAGATAATGAGTTTTATGGACAGATGACATCACTGACATGTCTTAGAGAGATTACAAACCATACAAAATATGGCTAAAAAAACCCTGGGAGATCCATCATTTTCCTTTGATAAAAGTCATAGCTTCCAAAGTTCCATGTGTAAATTTTTTCTCATTTAAAGAAGTCTCTCAGCTTGATTTCAACTACTGATATCCCAAAACTTTCAAGGTTGCATATTTTGAAGGGATGAGGTGGAAATGTTAAGCTTTACTAAAAGCTTTTTACTGAAAAACACCCTTCTGTTTGCCTTTCTTCCTATAAATTAAATTCAAGCTTTTAATTTTGAAAACAATAACTTATTATTTATTTTAAAATCTAAAAAAAAATCTTAGTTGTTTCAAGTAAATTGACTTAGAAATCTGATCTGAATGAATGGCCTTAGGTCAGCTCAGCCCCAGTAACCTTCAACGAAAAGTAAGCTTCTGAGTCAATAACATTTATTTTACTGTTTAACAATCCATCTTTAGGATAGTGAATTAATGAAGACCCATGAAGACTGGGGGTTAGAATTTACAGGTATAAACCTCTGTTTATACATGATAGCTGGAAAACTACTAAACCCCACTTTTTATTTATTCTTAGCAGCCCTTTCCTAAAAAAAATATAAGGCCGGCCTGATTTTTCCCACCAGACCTGCAAAAATCTCTTTATTTCCTGCAAACAAAGAAAAATCAATTATCTACATAAAATGCTATAGACAGAACAGAATATAAGCAAGAGAGGTTATCCAACCTTGGAAATACAGACACAGCACCCATCTGAATGACATTATAGTCTCACATTAATTACCCAGAACAGCAGCTGTGCTCTGGTAATCAAACATATTTTGGAAAGTGCTCTGTAAACGCTCTTAGCTTTGCACACAGGACTTGATGGATGAATCTGTGCCCACAATAGAGAAATCAGAGATTGATTACTACTGCAACTAACTCTTTGCTGAAGGTAAACTACCTTCCTGCTTGTAAAGGAAAAAAAATTAATATATCCATATATTTCTTAAGCAACATAAAGTTGAAAGTTTAAGAATTTTTCTCTACTACTTTTAAACACCATCTTAGAGCAGACTATCATCTCAGAGCAAAAACTCAACACACACATGCCAAATTCTACTCAGGAAAAGATCTGCAGTAAGAAAATGTGAAAGTGTGAGTATTCAGATTCCAATTAAGTTTGTTATTTCTTACCAAAGTCCAGAGATGAGTAATTGTTTGATTTCTTGTATATGCAGGCAGAACAGAAACAATTGTGATTATTATAAATATTACTTTAAGGGTTTCTTTTATAAGAACATTATGTATCGTATTTCCACAATTTAACACCGACTTGAATAAAAGCTCACAGTCTTGATACATCTGTATACTATAGTTACTGTCTCAAAACAAAGCTGTGTGCCACATGGAACCTAGACTACACACACACATATACACACACGTTTTTCTGTCACATAAACGATAACAGGGTAACTCAGGAAGGGACCACAGGAGGTCTCCAGTCCAACTGTGCTCAAAGCACAGCCAGCTCTGAGCTAAGAACAGGTTTCTCAGGGCCTTATCCAGCTGGGGGTTGATAACCTCCAAGACTGGTGATGGCAACAGCTTGTCAGGGCCCCAACACCAGCACTGGACTGTCCTGGCAGGAAAAATGTTGCTTCCTTATAGTCAATTTCAATTTCCCCTGTTTCAGCATGTCTCAGCTACCTCTAACCCTCCCTCCCACCACACACTACTGTGAGGAACCTGGCTGCATCTCCCCCATCCCATGGCCAGTTGACATGGAAGCCATGGAGCCATCCCTCCCTCCAGCTGAAGCAGACCTGGTCCCACAGCCTGTCGTGCATCTCTTGTGGCTTCCTATCATTTCCCACTTATATTATCCCTGTGTCAGGGAGGTGATGAGGCATGACTGCCTCAAAAGGGAGGCAGTACCCAGGTGGCGTCTAGCAGGCTCTGAGCAGAGGAGATAGTTCCTAACCTACCCTGGCTCCCAGAATCATGCCTGTCTCATACTGCCCCAGGTGCACCTGAGCCTTATTTTATTGTCCGGGCCTCATCCTAGATCTGCTACTTGTTCCCACCAGACCCAGCCTGTATCATCATATGGGGTAGTTACATACCTACATATTATTTTTTTGTAATTAAGTATTTTATTTATAAGAAGTATAACTGTTTCTTCTTATTTGGCAGTTGAGTGCATGAGCAAAATAATTTTGTCTT